CCTTGAGAAAATGGAGCGCGATGGCATAATCACACGAGTCACATCCAGTACGTGGGCAACACCAATCGTCATCGCGATCAAAAGTGACGGCAAAACACCGCGAATTTGTGGCGATTGCCGCTTAACACTCAACCCGCGGTTGCGAAAGTGCGCGGCTACCACCATGGAACCGGAGGATTTCATGCTTCTCGAAGATTGACTTGACCGATACATACCTTCAGATTCCACACACACCAACCTGCCGGCATTTCACCACTATCAACAGATCATGGGGACTGTATCAATACAACTTCCTACCGTTTGGTCTCCACACATCCTCCGGCATATTCCGGGCGGCAATTAACGAAGTCATCCGTGGACTCGATGGCATGTTGGCGTACCAGGACGATGTCATTGTATTTGGCACAACAAAGGCCGAGCATAACGATAGACTTCTCAAACTACTGGAGCGGTTCGCCCAAAAGAACGTGTCAATTCGCGCCTCCAAATGGATGTTCAGTTCCTCAGAATTGGAATTTTTGGGCTTCACAGTGGATGCAAAAGGCTATCACCTTGATCCAAGTTGCTTCCGCCCACTGACTGAACCGGAGTCACCAAGAGCCCAAAACCAACTCAGATCCATCATGGGATGTCTCCAATACTATTCACGTTTCATTCTGAACTTCGCCACAAAAGCCCAACCATTGTTTGCTGCTCAGTCGAATACGGAATGGAAATGGACTATCATTCAGATAATAACTGACCGACCAGCACTCACACCGTTTTCTCCGACGAAACATCCAACTTTGGTCACCGGCGCATCAGATATTGGCTTTGGTGCTGTACTCGAACAGGACGGATGTCCGATTGTCTGCATCTCTCGTCTATTGAACACGGCAGAACGAGGATATTCGCAGACGCAGAAAGAAGCACTAGCTGTACACTGGGCCGTCCGACGCCCACACAAATACCTGTTTGGATTGCGTTTCACCGTAGTTACCGGTCATCAAGCATTGCAATAGCCATTCAGTCCACAAAGTCGATTTCCAAGCCGACGGTGGCGATGATTCAGCAATGGGGCATCGCATTGCCTGTCTACGACTATGACATAGTGCACCGTCCGAGCAAAACAATTCCCCAGGTCGATTTCCTCTCGCGGTGGTCCAAATTCTTGGGGGCTAAGAGGTGTCATTTCATTGCCACTACTGTCCCGGTATCTCGAGAGGAGTTGCACCTATTTACGAAGAGATACTATGCAGAAATCATTATGCCTCTATCAAAAGGGTGGCGTCCAGACCTGAAGCGGACGTTTGCAGCATTCTATGCACGTCGCGAAGAAATCAGCGGACAACCTGATGGAATACTCTGCCGTAATGATCGACTGATTATTTCACCTCCACTATGAAAGGCAGTGCTAGAAGATCTGCACAAGGGTCACTTGGGGGTGGAAAAGATGAAGTCGTTGGCACGACAGATGTGTTGGTGGCCTGGTATAAATGAAGACATCAGTCGAACTGCTAAAACCTGAGACGCGTGTCTACAAAAACAGAAGTCAAAACCGAAAAATTGGGCACCATGGCCAGAGAGCTGCATTCCATGGCAACGCGTGCATGCCGACTTCTGCGGACCATTTCTCAGTCAGTACCACGCACTAGTGCTCATTGATTCCTACTCGAAATGGCCGGAAGTATTCCTAACCTGCACACCAACCACGTCGTTCGTGATGAGAGTACTACGAAAGTGTTTCAGTCGAGAGGGTGTTCCACAAGTCTTTGTGACTGATAACGGATTGCAATTCTGCGCGGCGGAATTGAAGGCATGGCTGAACAGCATTAGCTGCAGACATTTGCGCACAGCACCACGCCGTCCCTGTTCGAACGGTGCAGCGGAAAACCTGGTGAAAACGGTGAAGAGTGCCATAGCTTCTGCGAATCCGAGGACAATTGTAGAATTGGAGACACTTCTAGATAACTTCCTACTACAATACCGGAATGCTGCACATGCTACCACCAAGGAGAGCCCAGCAAAACCGTTCAAAGCCAGAAGCTTACGTTCCTCACTGCGTTGCGTGGATTCGAGTGACGTTGTATACTTTAGAGGAAACGACTTGAGACCATCAAGAGGAATCATAACCCACAGGATTGGTCACAGATGCAACGGTTCATCGATGCCACATCGACCAAATTCACTTCAATGAAACTTCTATTTTGAAAGAAGCTCCTGTCGAAGAAATTAAAGAAAATCCGCCTTGTGAGAGGCCGTCAATAACTACTGAAGATCAAAGGCAACAGCCCTCTATTCCGGAAACGTCTATCGACGAGAATACCCCACTAGCACTCCGAAGACCAATCAGAAGAGCAAGCCAATTCGACGAAGCTCTCTTGAGGAAGGAGAGTTGTGGTGATTCAGGTCTACGCGATGACGCCTACTCTGGAGCGGTGCGTTACAGTTTCAGGACATCGGAGATCGATCAAGTTTAAATGTTGACGTCAATAGCACGTGCATGGCTTCTGACTACACGTCATAGACAGGTTGGTCCAGCCAATCCGAGACAGTGCAGACGGAAGTATAATTATACAAGCAGTACTGCAATCCGATTGGTGGAGGCCTAGACAACCAATCATCTCCTTTTGTACATATTATTTATTTGCCTTCATTTTTTTCAATAAACGAACTACGTACTATTATTCCTGTGGCCTATTCCTCGCGTCTCGTTCACCTGGGATACTGCGAGCTCATGCCATTTCGGTCCAGTGCTTCCGTAGTCCAGTCCGTGACAGCTAATCCTTGATTCGTGTTCTGTGATTCCTCTTGTGTGGTTTGCATTCCGAATTCCGTGCGTACTACTACGACTACCACGATCATTAAAAATAACCAACAAAGAGCACTGGACAGCTGTTTCGTCCTGTGTGGAGCTCGTCAACAGTGCGTACCTTTTGTGTCCCTCTCGGGACTCAAACCGCGATCAGCCGGGTCGGGACTTCAAACCCTTCCCGTGAGCTACACGGTCGACGGTTATCATCTTGTGTGAATGGTGCCTCTGAACAATCGAATGGGCTTGATATTCTAGATCCCACCCGATCACTCTTTCCTCTTATTGGTACCTGCCCTCTCGAATAAATATTTATAAAAATTCCACAGTACCTGGCTCGCATCTTGACCAATAAGGTAACGAGTTATAAATGAATCACGTCAATCTTTAATGGAGTGAATCAAACTTCGGAGACTTCTTTTTCACACAGCACTCTATCGGATCAGTCTATACTTTTATATTTTCTCTGGTGTGACGACCAGCGTACAAGTTTTAACTGAAATGTAAAAATTATACAAATAAAAATACAAATTACACAGGTTTCGTATACCGTTACGATTAGCCCAACAATGATGAAGTCGAAATTGTTACTTAGTCATACTCTTAGCAGCTGTCCTGATACATATGGTTTAGTTTGGTTTGGTTGTTGTTGTTGTTGTTGCTGCTGCTGCTGCTGAAACGAATAATTGTTTTTTTACACGCTAGATTGAAGAGTGCCTGTCGGTTGTTGCTTTTTTTTGGCAAGCGGTTTTTCGGCACACATACGCCATCCACTTTTTGTGGATACAGTGACAGTTTGACAGCAGGAATACATGGGGTCAGTCGACGGACGAGAAGCAGCACTAATCCAGATAGATCCACGAGATGATGACGATGGTATTGATGCTGAAAGTGAAATTGAAATCGGATCTCAAAATGTTGTGAACAGGAATAAGTTTCATTCGCGTTCCGCGGTGTGTCGCCAATAGATAAGTGTGTGTTTATTTATTTGGGGGGTATCTCGTTTTCATTATACTCAATGAATCATTGAGGTCCATAGATGGAACGGATCTCACTGAAAAACTTGGGCGTTGTGCTTATGCTTATTGAGGAACTTGGCTTGTCTGAGCCACGACAAATGAAAAACCAAAACACAAGGCTTCGATGACAATGTTTTGACCCGCTTGGAAGGCCTTTTTTTAAGTCGTTTAATCGGTTTATCTCACGTTACAAGTCTTCCAAGAGGGTCGAAACATTGTCATCAACGCCTTTGAGTTTTGATTTTCATTCGTCGTGGCTAAGACAAGCTAATTTCCTCAACAAACACCAGTAAGTCTGCATGAATAGTTGTGTAATAGTAGTATGCACACTGATCACGATGTACGAATCACGAATCAGAAATCCTAGACGCCACTTAAGCATTGAATCAAACTGGATACTTGGACAACAGTATCCCGAGGGAACCGAGGCGCGAGGAAATCAGATAGGTTAAATAATATATGTAGAGCACAAGTTAATTCAAGGTCATTCAAGCCTCTGTCAATCACGTGCTTGTATTTCTGTCATTGTTCAGCTTCTGTCTGACCCGAACGGTTTCTGATTGGAGCTCATCAGAATCATCGGAATTTGAACCCCGGACTCACCGCATGAAAAGCATGCGCATTACCACTATGTCAACTAGCTCATACATATCATGGCTGAATCAAATTTCCAATTCATGTTTGTCATATTTGTTTCCGATTGATTGATATAATCCACCTACGGTTTGTAGTCCAGAAGCTGGGACACGTAGGCGCTTTGCTGACGTCACTCGGTAAGCTTGATTAATCACAGTTATGCGAAAACTGTCACGTGTCGCTCCGTGGTATGCGTCATCTCTTAGGCCAGAATCACCACAATAATACTTGAGCAATAACCGTTTATGCAGAGCTTTCAGTAAGACACAGTTAAAGTCTATTCAGATTATTCGTACATTTATTTCTGTTCTACTACTCACTCACTCATTCACTCAATCGATCAATCAATCAATAAAGCATTCCACCTCCCCTATCTAAAGACATTTGACACTGGTTTCACATTCTAGTTTGCCCAACCAATAATTCTGTAAGTTGAACAATAGTGATAACAATATGTAGACAGCAATTCAGACATGCAAGCAGACTGTTGGTTCGTTCTTCTGTTGGTTCAGACGTGGACAAACAAACATTAAATTAGTGGGACAGAGATTTACCCGGGTCCATGCTACCTCCGAGTAATCGTTGCTTGTGAGAAGAACTAACTATTTTTCAAAACTAACCCAAATTGTGCGGGAAAAACACTGCGGAGAATTTTATCGAAACCAGTAGATTCGCGATTATTCACGACCAAATTTATTCTATTCGATAGGAATGAATGTAAAGATCACTCTCTATTTCGTGTTTTATTCTCATAAATTGATTGCTAATCTCTTTCATCATCGATTTACCAATTTCACAATCAATTTGATTGAGCTTCTGAAGTTTATTTTCACAGAAGAATCATAAATTGAAAAAAATTCCAAATGGCACCTTGTTTAACGAAAATCCACATATGCTTTTTAAAAGTTCGCATAGTTACTGATGATCTAAATCTAAGGTTAATGATTATTAATAAGTTTTTATTTTTTCCATTGAACTGATTTGTGGGGATCGGGTGGGGTGAGATGGAGTGAAGAAGTGGACTGTGACCAATTAAAGGCTATTAGGAATTGAAAAAAAACACCTGGCAGCGAATTTCACGCAGGTGTGATGATACTCACCTATAGGGGTGTGGTGATCCAGGCCTACACGATGGCGCCTACCCTGGAGCAACACGTTACAGTTTCAGGACATTCGCGATCGATCAAGTTTGAATGCTGACGTCAATAGCACATGCATAGCTTCTGAATACACGTCATTGGCGGATGGTGCCAGCCAATCCTAGACAATGCAAATAGAAGCAAGATCATGCAAGCAGTGCTACAATCCAATTGGTTGAAGCCCAGACAGCCAATAATCTCCGTTTGTACATATTATTTAATTACCTTCATTTCTTCCAATAAACGAACTACTTACTGCCAGTCCTCTGGCTTTTTCCTCGCGTCTTGTTCTCGTGGGACATTGCTTCTGTGATCTAGTCCGTGATAGCTGATTATTGATTCGGGTCCTGTGATTCATATTGCGTGGTTGGTGTTCCGAATTTCGTGCGTATTACTACTAGTGCTACTACACTCAT